AAGGAATAAAAAAAAAAAAAAAAAAAAGAGGGAGAATGTTAAAGTTGTCGGAAATTAAGAATAAAACGTTAAAAATGGAAAATGGTAACAATGAAATAGATCTGTTTTATTTTAAAATTGCTCAGATACAAACATTTTCGTACGGAACAATAATTGTAAAAAAAAAAACATGTCGCAGTTAAAAATTTCGTCCTGCTGTTTGTTTGCAACCTCTCATAGGCCTCCCACGGGCCCATGTCGAACGGCTTCCATTACGTCTACGTGGCAGCTTTATTTTATTTTATTTAATTTAACTTGGCAGATGATATAAACGTGTGGAGTTCATGTGGACCGGTGGCCGTTGGTTCTTGATGTGGTGGTACACCTTTCATTTATATTTTTATTATAATAATAATAATAATAATAGTAATAAATAACAACAATAATAATTTTTAGTCATGGTTGATACTTGGCTCGATATTCTTAATTTCGGCTTGAAATATAGTGAGAAATTTGGATAAATATTAAAAATGTCATATTGTCGATAGATGATCTTATAAACATTGGGATTATATATAGTGAGATACATTTAATGTGGTACGTAGTTCCCTACTCATTCTATAAAAAAGTTTTTCAAAATTATCTATAAAATTATGGAATTATTATCGATTTTCCATCCTTTTTTTCTTCTCTTTTTCCTGAGATAATAATTTAATTCATTAAATAAAAATAAACTTTATAACTACTATTTTTAATATAAAAAGAAAATACTACGGAGTGAGGTTCCAGATTCATGTTTACCGCTTTTTATATCCTAATCGAAACGAAATTGACTGGTGAAGAAAGTAGTAATAATGGGTTGTAACTATTTTGGATAATATAATATTTAAACATAATTATTTGGAAATCTTATTTTGAAAAATATATCTTATAAAGTAAAAAATGCAATTGAAATTTTTTGTTTGTCGTTAAATAAATTTCTTTTTTTATTTATTTTTGGTATTGTCGAAGACATTCATCAAGAAACCGAAGAAGAACGAGTTCCGAGGGATCCATTAATTAGATTTTTGTAAGAAAGTCGATGCTCCCTCTCCTTTTCATAACTTTTCCACGCCTAAAAAGAACTGCAATTAATATTATAATAAGTATTCAAAATATTTATCGGTTATTTTTATATTTCAAAATATTTATCATTCTATATTTTTAAACTATTTTTTTACAATAATTTCTAATTTTATTTCTACTAAATTTCAATAAATTATTAATGATAATATTATTTTATTAATAAAAATATTAAATAAGAGTATATCTGATTTTTTTTTCTTTAAAAAAAATGTGAAATAACTTAAAACATCTAATATTAAATGCATATATGAATATGTCAACTATAAAAAAAAAATAGCACCATTTTATTTTGAACTTAAACTTAAAACTGTTTCGGGCCGCAGGACAAAAAGAATTCTACTTTCTATTAGAAAATTATGATAATTTCTATTTCTGAAAGTTGTAAAATATGGGAATAAATGTTTTAAATAAACTAATCAATCACTTATGTATGATTTCACGATCATTAGATTTCTAAATGATATCACAACATAAATCATTACAGTTTAAATTACAATATCTAAATACAGGATTTAGGGATATATTGGATGAATTGTATCGATATTACACCTATGGCTATGGAGCAAATTGGAGGGTATTTACTTGTATACGTGCGTTGAATATATTTTGTGAAAATAGTTTTGGAATTGAATCTAATATTGGCGAAGCAATTAATCTCATAAAATAATATCATCGAAGGAATTGATCCAACATGTTTCAAAGAGATCTATCGTATTTTTGGTATATGAAAAAAATTACAATATAGTATTTGATGAGAAATTATTTGTTACTATTTTCACGTTCATTTTCTGTATTTGAATATATGAAATTATATCGTCAATGGTACGAAACTTATCTCACGCTCTCTCTCTACAGACATTTCTCTCCTCCCGCACCCACTCTCTCTCTTAGCCATGGATAATCCCACAAACATATGCAGCGCCGGAAAACCACCGGAGGTCATCTCTCCGTCGCGAAGCCTACGGCGGAGAAACAGCTCCGCCTCCAACTCGCCGGAATTTGAGTTCTGGCGTCTAACGAACCCATCATCTCAACCCGACCCAGATCTCGTATCCGCCGACGAGCTCTTCCTCGATGGCGTTCTCCTCCCACTTCAGCTCCTCTCCCTCAAACCCGCCCACTCGCCCAACTCGGATGGCTCGATACCCGATCCGGATCCCCCACCCTCAGACCCATCTGCTCCTCTCGTCCACGAACTCGATCCTGCGACAAAAACAGAGCCCACACCGGAACCCGGGCACGGACCTGGATTGTTCCGTGAGACGGTGGTTTCCGGGTTCACGTCGTCGAAGCGATGGAGAGATATGTTCAGGAAGAGCGAGAGCAAGCCGCCGGCAAAGAGTCGGGAACACAAGGAGAAGGAGAGCAAGAAAAGGGAGAGGAAAAGCCAAACCGTTTCGGGCTCGAGCGCGGGCGCGGAGCTGAACATCAACATCTGGCCGTTCTCCAGGAGCAGATCCACCGGGAACATCGTGACCCGACCCAGAATGTCGTTCGGAGCTCCGGTGACGCGGAAGGTGAGCAGCGCTCCGTGTTCCCGGAGCAACTCCGCCGGCGAGTCCAAGTCGAGGAAGTGGCCGAGCAGTCCGGGACCGGTCGGGGTCCATCTGGGTCGGAACAGTCCAGTGTGGCAGGTCCGCCGTGGAGTTATCGCCGGAAAACCGGTCTCCGAGTCGCCGGTGGATGGGAGCTCCGGCGAGAGGGGTGGTGGTGGCAAAAGGGAAATTACCGAGGGGAGGAGGGGTAAAAGGGTAAATGAGAACCATAAAGCGAAAGTACTGAATTTGAACGTTCCGATGTGCATCGGTTATCGCAATCGGTTGAGCTGCAGAAGCGACGAGAGTGGAAGTAGTAATAATCGGAGTGGGAATAGCAGAATCGGGAGTGGAAGTAGTAATAACCCCAACGCGGCTACCACCATGTTTGGTCTGCGTAATCTATTTATTAAGAAGGTTCATTGACTTGTCAATTTTTGTATTTATATAATTTCCTCGTCAACCCTCTGACTGGGCGAGAGGGTCTCTCTGTTTCTTTTATAAAAAAATGATAATTTTGCTGTGAATGAATAAAGAATCCATGCAATTTGTACAGGTTTCTATATATTAATATTAATTAAGGTGTGAATTTTCATTATAGTGTTAATCCTGGGAAGGACAGTTAGGGTTATATAATCGAATTCTTAATTATTTACGATTCAAGCAGATAAAACTGAGTTCATGTTTATATTAATCTTACTTCCAAGTTATTGTCCTAAACACCACGCGCACATAAGTATATTCTTCATGCATATTACACGCGCTTCGTTGGCGCGTAGCATTTATTCGCCTCCCTCAAATATCTTGATACCGCGCGTCACCAGGGAAAAGAGTCTTGATTCCCCGATATCTTGATCATCGTCTCTCTCGCAGATCGAGCAGCGAAGTGTCGGAGATATGTCGTCGAAGGACAAGAAATCGTCGAAGCCAGCGAGAAAGGCCGGTGGTATCCGTACACTTTCCGATCTGAATCGCAGGTCAGGGCCGGATTCCGACAGCGATTCCGACGGACCTCAGGAGTACTACGCCGGCGGAGAGAAAAGGTCGGTTCTCAAAAACACCGAAAACGATTCCGTTTTCCGATTACCCAATTGATTGCTCGCGGCTGTGATGTCTAAAGTGAGGATCTTTTGTGGTTATGATTGGATCTGGATGGAATTGGATTGTGATGGTATGCTTAATTGTCTTTCTACTATCATTTTACCGGTTTTATGTTTCTGGTGGAATAAGAAACATGGGAAAAGAATCAGGATTAGGAGGGTCTTATGGTTGAATCGAGTTTGCTGTTTCGAAAGTTGTCTGGTTAGATTCAACTATATCAGGGATTTCAACTCTTGTCCGTGAGAACCGATGGGTAATTAGTAATGATTTCCAAGGCTTCTAATTTCAGCTCTGTTTTGGTGGTAGTGGAGTTGTTTATGTGTTGGATACTATAGATAGAGTTGAAGAACATGAAAACAAAAAGAAGGGTTTAGCCTATAGTGTCTGATGGAATAATCGTTTAGCTTTGTGAAGGTTTAACAATCAAAATCCTTCTCCGACTCTGTTGGAGTTATTATCGGTGTGTAGGTGCAGATGGCACCTTTCAACTTGTGTTGGAGTGGATGCGATGATGAAGAGAATAAGTATTGGACCTGTTTATCCGAATTGTTCTTTTTCTTCTGGATAGCTTTCCATAGAAACTCCATACGGAGCTGTTTTTGGGATGGTACCGTGGATGATGATAGTGTTAAACCACACTTATCAGTGTGTGTAACAGTGGATTTGAAATTGATGTTCTATACGAATGAAATCTCAAGCTGTGGTGTGAAGTGTTTGGTTTTTACCGAACTCTTTCCTGTTATCCCCGAGTTGACCTTCAATATCTGCTTATGTTTCTCTGCTCGTTTCTAGCCTATTTGTGCATCTAAATCGAGGGTTTCAATTTATGATGAAACCCTGAAACTGACTGAGATCTTTTGTATCTGAATCTTTCAGCGGGATGCTTGTCCAGGATCCTTCAAAGAGTAACGATGATGTGGATGAGATATTCAATCAAGCCCGGCAATTAGGAGCTGTGGAAGGACCGCTCGAACGTCCATCAAGTTCTAGAAGCTTCACCGGGACCGGGAGGTTGCTTTCGGGAGAAACTGTGCCATCGGCTCCTCAGCAGCCTGAGCCTGTTGTCCACAACATTGTTTTCTGGTCCAATGGTTTCACTGTAGATGATGGCCCTTTGAGGATGCTGGATGATCCAGAGAATGCATATTTTCTTGAGGTGGAATCGATTTGTTAAATGGATTGTTTTTCATGTTTCGAATTTTGTTTTCGTGGTTTATTTTTTGTTGTTTCTTCTATGCTTTCTCCAATGTAGAGTATTAGAAAATCTGAATGCCCGAAAGAGCTTGAACCTGCGGATAGAAGGATGCCTGTACATGTCAATCTGATGAGAAGGGACGAGAAATGCCCAGTGAGTTCCCTTTGCTCTCACTCCTCATCCTTCAGTCTGTGAAGTATTTCCCTTTCTCACTAGGTCACATACGGTAAGAAAAATAGCCGCGAGTTTGCATCAATAATGTTTTAGGCTCCGTTCTTTTCGGGTTTTCATATGTTTACCCATGTGAGAGAGCTGATGAAAGCTGCTACCTTTAGGTTCAGGATTAGATGCACAAGAAGCCCTTTTTCGCAACCATGTTTTCATTGTTCATATATACACCTATATAGAATGTGTGGACATCTCTCTCAACTGTATATGGAATTTTCTCTTTGCAGGAGGTTGAAAGACGGGCAATCCCGTTTCAGGGGGTCGGAAGGACTTTGGGAGGGAGCGGTTCATCGGT